CGCATCGTCTGCTTCGACGTCGACTGCGGCTTGCATCTTTCTGCGTCTCACGAAAGTGCATCGTGTGCGTCGCACGTTTGCATTTGCGTCTGCGTCTAATGTGCGATTTACGTTTGCGTCTTCTCCTGGAGTAGGAGGCGTCAACGTCTGTCGCAGATTCTGTTGCAGCTCATTTTTCTATTTCGACGCTGCGCCCTACCCGACAGATTCTCCAGCTTCGTTTCGTCTGCTTGTCGGGGACCTCACAGCAGGTGTACGTCGACAGATCTTTCTGCTCTGATAGAGCTCCCTTCTTCTTTGGTTGAAACGGACGAAGCCTCCTTTGCCCACGTGGTGGGTAACCCTCAGGTGGAGTCCGCGGTTGTCTTCCCCTCAAGCTATAAGGATTGTCGCGATGATACAAGTGATTGCCCCTTTGTTAAGAATAGAAGTAGGAAAGGTAGGACAACAACAATCTTTTTCTCTGACTTAGAAATTTCAATCATGACGGAGAAATTCAAGTTTTCTCTTATTGAAAAATTTCAGTGCGGACATTCACCTATGGAAGTTATCATAAAGAGTGTTGATAATCTTAAACTAGTGAGCAAGTGGAAAGTGAGACTCATGGATGAGAAACATGTGTTGATTCAACTAACCGTGGCTGAAGACTATACCCGAATTTTCTCCAAGAAACATCTTAATATCGCAGACAAATCAATGAAGTTACTAAGAGATCTCTTGATTTCGACCCAAATCATGAACCTCTCACTGTACTGGTATGATTTAGTCTACCTGGTCTCAAGCCGCACTTTTTTCATCATCAGGTTTTTTACTCTATTGAGGTCATCCTTGGGGACCCTATGAAACTAGATCTACCACTTTCAATCTAACCATATCTTTTGTGGCAAGAATACTTGTGGAAAGGGATATTATTTTACCTCATGTTACTGAAGTCTAACTGGGCACAACTCATAATGGATATTGACAAATAAATTGTCATGGAACACCGACCTCCGTATTATAC